TCAACTAGCAAAGAACAGAGCCAGGATTAGAAGCCAGGCGTTTTCAAACCTGTGGTCTAGGGACTACTATGAGCTTTCTTTCAGATGAAGACTCAGGACAAAACAGGCACAACTACACCAGCAGAAGAAGGGACCAACAACTACACACACAGCAGTCATCTCCCATGAGGTTTTAGATTCTTTGTAGAAAAGCTTAGTCAAGGGCTTGTCCCACTGCCCCCTCCACAGTGTAAGGGGCAATGTGTGATGGAAGGGATAGCATACCATTCTGAACCATCTCAGATTCCAGTGTTCTGTGGAGGCCCTGAGTCAACCTTTCACACCAGAGAATTTCTATTTCAAATAAACAACAGGTCAACTGGTCAGAACAGATATATCAGAGGGTCAGGACCCAGTCAGTATCTCTTCTAAGAGTGGCCCTCCAGTTCATAGAATGCCCCATGGGTGTGGAGTATACCCATCGTGATACTGTATCATAGCATGTCATAACTTTATGAACTCTTGGAGAGTTACTTGTTTTCCCACCTCCGTGTCCTTAAGTAGGGCATGCCCAGGTCATAGCACAATCACCAATCACTTTAGCTACCGCTTGTGTGGGGGGTGAATAGTCATTGTCACTATCCAGTAGTTCAAGATATAATCTTGAAAACATGGAAACCTGAAAATTAAAAATAAATAAAACACAATCACATAAGGAAAGAACGTTGTTCCACTGAGGGAGGTGGTCGGCCCTTACACAAAACATACAACAGAAGAAAGGTTTGCTAATTTTTTTTTTTTTTTTTGCCAGTCCTGGGGCTTGAACTCAGGGCCTGGGCACTGTCCCTGAGCTCCTTTTGCTCAAGGCTAGCACTCTATCATTTGAGCCACAGCACCACTTCTGGCTTTCTCTGTTTAGATGGTGTTAAGGAATTGAGCCCAGGGCTTTGTGCATGCTAGTTAAGCACTCTACCACTAAGCCACATTCCCAGCCCAGGTTTCTACATTTTTATCAAACACCTCAGGGATGGAATGATAAAAGGGAGAATAAAGAGTAGATCTGTTCTTAGGGAGAGAGAGTGGTGAAGGAATAAGGTACCCCCAAGTTTTGGTCTGATCTTCCACTTAAATAAGCTCCTATGGAGGCTGAAAGTCTTCTTCCTCAATCCTTCTTCTTCCCCCTCCTCAGGCTGAGGGGCTGGTTAGAGATTTCTTGATGCTATAATTTCTCTTTCTCTTTTTCTCTCTCCCTCGATCTCCTTCCCTCTCTTTCTCCCTCCCTCTCTGTCTCTGTCTCTGTCTGTGTCTCTGTCTCTCTCTCTCTCTGACTTTCTCTCTCTCTTACTCTCCCCACATTGCCCCCACCCTCTCCAACACTCAGGTTTGAAAACATAGCTTCTCTTAACAGGAAGCTCCTAATACCTGGAATCTGGAATTTCTTCCTTCTTTCCCTATCCTATCTCAGATGTGGGACCTGGGCATTGCAGAACTTGTTTATTTTGTGCTGATCCTGGGGCTTAAACTCGGGGTCTGGACACTGTTGCTGAGCTTTTTTTGTTCAAGTCAAGCACTCTGTCACTAGAAACTTTTTGTGAAAACACTCTTCATGACCTGAAATGAGTAGCCAACATTGAGATCTCTCTGACTCTTCAGTGTGATCAGAGGACAGGCAAAGGCAAAATTCTCTTAAGATTTTGTTCCTAGGTATCTGTTTTAAATAGACACTCCAGTGGGAAATGAACTGGAATGTGAATGTTGGATGAGGGATGTTCTATGCAGGGAGTATATAATCTAAACTGGTTTTGATAAAGCTTGACCATTGAGTAAGCTAGGCCACCAACATGAGCCAAGAGGAAAGGACCAGGGACCATTCTGAATCAGTGGTCAATTCTGATGCTGGAGTAACATATATGGAGCAACAGTCTCCTGGGTACTGTACAGAGTAGCCACATTTCCCTTTCTTCATGTACGTTGCAGCTTGTGAGACTTCAAGCAACAGCTAAACCTATCCTGGTGGTGAAGAAACCAAGAATCTTTAAGTCAAGGGGAGAAAGATTCTTAACCAAAACCACTAAGTGGGCTTCAGATACAAAAATGGGGAAAATGGGGCTGGGAAGGTGGCGCAGTGGTAGAGCGCTTGCCTTGCATGCATGAGGCCCTGGGTTCAATTCCTCAGCACCACATAAGCAGAAAAAAAAGCCGGAAGTGGCACTGTGGCTCAAGTGGTAGAGCGCTAGCCTTGAGCTGAAGAGCTGTGGGACAGCACCCAGGCCCAGAGTTCAGGCCCCACGACCGGACCCCCCCCAAAAAAATGGGGAAAATGATGATGTCAGGGTCAGAAGTAAGATCTAGAGGCTGGAGCCAGAGCAACCTTGGGGTAAAGAAAGGGCAGGTTGAGGCAATAGGAGAATTCAGTCACGGCAAGTACCAAGATGGAAAGGTTCCTTTGTGTCCAGGAAAAGAATAAGAATAGCCCAACATCAGAGCTGGGCTTAGATAGCTCAGAATCTGGGTGGCACCAGCAGACTAAGGAGCAGGAAGAAACCTTCGCTGGGCCTGGGAATCCCACTAGAGGGAGCAGAGAGTTCCACCCCCAAGCTCCTGCAATTGGGATCTCTGAGAAGGGGGAAGACCACCCCCAAGCTCCTGCAATTGGGATCTCTGAGAAGGGGGAAGAGGAAGACAACTGAAGTATCATATGCGAAGTCTTCTCATCTCTTCTCGTCTCATGGTAAGAAACAAACACAAAGGAATGTTCCTCTTGCAAGAGACTTCTCAGTAGTTATCAAAGAAGTCTCTGTGTGTGTTATTAAAAATAATGCCATTCCCTCCCCTTACCCGTAAATTCATTCATTCATTCAGTCAGCCAGCCATCACTTTACACTCATCCATTGCGAAGCAGCTACTGTATACCACGTACTGTGCTTAGATGCCTATCCAGACACAGTAGGAGGCTAATCTTGGACTCAAGTGTACCTGAGGTGACCCAGCTGTGAAGCCAGCTGGTGCTCCATAAACATTTAGGTATGTATGGTGGGAAGAGAAAAATCTGAGAAGAAGAAGAAGAGCCATCCACACCTGAGATTTAGGGCAATTTGGATTTTCAAAGGTCACTCCATTAGTAAATTATGTTAGGAATGTAGCTCTCAATCAGTGATCTCAGTCTCACATTACGTTGATAAGAGGAAATTGCTGGTACACTTGCTGTTGTTAGGCTCCCAGAAGAGAGAAGTCCCCAAGTCAGGGAGAATCCTGAGAACATGTGTACTAGGAGAGCCCCACTGGGTAGGTGCTCAGCAGCATCCTTTGTCTCTTTGGTCTGGGAACCCAGACCATGGCACTGTACCGCTCTGAGTCCTCCTGCAGAGTGAAATCACCTGAATTAGAGATAGATAATTCAGGACTTTAGCCTTTTCCTTCCTATCTTGGGCCCATGTCCTGGTTCCCACAGTACTTCCCTGGCCCTCTCTGATTCTCTAGCCCTGCAAGCTCTCAAGGGTCTAAATTGGGCCTGTTCAAACCAACTGTATTCCCAAGGCCATATTTGTTTACTCTCCATGTAGCAAGCATTACTGAGTATAATAATGCCAGGCATGCCTAGGAATGACCTGAGGATGAAGCCCAGGTTCACTGACAAACAGGGACTGTCCTTTGAAACACAGTGCTATTCTTGGCCACTGGATGCAATGCCCATACTTGTGGTAAACTGAGTCCCTTACTTTCCCTATACTAATTCACTCCCTTCTATTTTTAGCTGAATTAGAAATACCTTTTATCTCTAGAGCCACTTCAAACATCAGGCAGCTTTATTCCTACTTAAGAGGATTTAGCCTAAGCAACAATTAAGGGCTCCTGCATAAAGCCAAACTCTTCTTCCTGTCTTCTCAGAGCCACTGGCTTCCCAGGCACTCAGCGGACTTGACACCAGGGCAGGAAGTCTGAACTCCCTTTTCTACCTTTTAGTCTTTTCTGTTTGGGCTTAATTCTTATGTGGGCACTAAGAAGGTGAAAACAAAGAAAAGTTGGAGTTGATTTCCTCTTGAGTTGTTTGTTTGTTTGTTTGTTTGCCCTAGGGTGATCTGTTGTACACCTCTTGGCTTCAAATCCCCAATTGGCCTTCAGAAGTGAGATTAAAGGTTCTCTGTGCCCCTACATTCACAGTCCATTCATTTTTGCTGCAGGAAGAGGAAGCAATTGACCTTGGGAACTTTGTTGGTTTGAGTAGGCACAATTCTGACCCTTGAGAGCCCCATAGGGGTAGAGAGTCAGCGGGGATAGGAAAATATTGCAGCTAGCAGGAATCTATAGGTTGGGGCTAAGACTAAAATGGACAAGAAAGACAAAGGGTTCAGCACTGAGGTCTCTGGATGGGATTGGAGTGAAGGTGGTTGGTAAGGTCTTCTAGATGTTTTAAGGGGGGGGGGGGCAGAATAAAATCTAGTTAGGAAGGAAGAAAGAGCCACAGCCAGCTGGGTGAAACAGAAGGGCAAGCTGATCCCAGAAGGATTAGACATGGCACATTTCAAAAGCAAAGGGGCAAAGGTGTGGTTGGTGAAAGCGAAGCCGGTTCACCTAGATTAGCAACCAGTCATGAGGGTGAGGCTTGGGGTAAAAAGTGAATAATTCTGAAGATTTGTATTTCAGCGGAGTTGGGATGTGAGAAGTGAATTTCAGAGATCACAAGTTTCCCCAGATGATCATAGGAGTTTAAAATCAGTTCCTCCCATCTCTAGCATCTACCTTTACTGAGAGACAATAAGTGCCCCCAACTCCTCTTCTCCCCTTCCCTTCGCCTCCAGCTCATGGCTAATACCTATTCTATTCCACAAAACAATCCTTGCACTGGTAAACCCAGCAGGTGGCAAGGCCACCAGCCCTGACCCCAGAGCTGACTCATTAAACCCTCTAGAACCTGTTGCTAAACCCTCCCCCAAACACAAACTTGCCACCTGGGTTGGAGGGAGAGGTGGCAATGGGATCCAGATGACATCATGGTCAGATTGCTAAGGCCATTATATCAGCTGAGTGGTTTTCATCACAAAAGCTGAGTCAAAGGGTGATGGAGGGGAGGGGGGTGAGTCATGTGTGACAGGTAGAAATGAAAACATAGTGGCTGGGGCAGGTCTATTTCCTGGAGATGTTCATCTTATAAAAGCCAAGCGGGCCCTTGCCTTCACACCAGACCCGAGCAACCAGGCAGACTCTTCTTCTCTGTGTACAAGGTAAGTCTCTGATTGCAACTAATCTGAATTTCTTGCTTGGTTTATTATTATTGCTATACAGTGGGCAGGGTATGTATGTGTAGAGAAGTTGATGCAAGGTATAACTAGAGTCAGAAATACTGGAATCACTTGAACTTGCAGCACAGTTTGGGTATAAAGGGAACTTAAAAATGATTAAATCTGAAATCTGCCACCTCAGTGGAAAAGCAATGGGACAGAATCTATTCAAATGCCCACAGGAAGTTCATAGGGAGTGAAAGACTAAGTCTCCATTCCAGAACACTCTCAGCAACAATGGTATAATACTTACTAAACAACTGTTAATTCATTAGGTAAATCTCTAGTGCACTTTCATTGTATTCAAGACAATGTACTGGGCACTTTAGGTAAGTGAGATCAATACGAAACTTAGCAAACTTACAACCTGTGAGGATAATTCAAATATCTATATCTATATCTATCTATCTATCTATCTATCTATCTATCTATCTATCTATCTATGGAGAGAGAGGGGTAGGGAAGGGAAAGCAAAAATATAAGGAAGAAAATCATTTTTGTGAGGAGCCAAGGGCTGTGTGGTTTAGGGCAGCGTGGTTCAAGAAGAGCTTCTTAATGTGAGCTACAGTGGAATAGTATTTGGTAAACAGAGATGGGAAGCGATACATATTTTAAAAGGAACTATGAAAGCCAAAGCCAGAAGCAAAATAGGGGTGTGAATTAATCTAGAGTCACCTTAAATGCTCCAGGGATTCTACATAGCCTAGGAGTAGATGGATAGATGGACTGCAATTGTTTCTAGGATATCGCTTTCCAAAAGACTCACTAGATAGACTCACATGTCTCTCAGAATCCAGCTTTCTTGGGGGGGGGGGGCGGGAGGGCATTTCAATGAATGTCTGGGGAGGAAAGAAAGCCAGGGAAAGAACCTCACTGAAATGGAGCAGAACACAATGCCCTTAAGCTCTTGCTCTAGCACATTTTGCCTTCATAGGTGAACGGAGAGGCTCCCTCACCTTTAGAAGGGCCTGCAATGACATCTATTTGGCATTGAACTTGACTTCGTCTCTGTTTCGTGGAATTACAGAGTTTATTTTCTGTCTCTAGAACCAGCCACTGTTGAAGCATGAGCTCCCAGCAGCAGAAACAGCCCTGCACTGTACCTCCTCAGCTGCAGCAGCAGCAGGTGAAACAGCCTTGCCAGCCTCCACCCCAGCAGCCATGCGCCCCCAAGGAGCCCTGCCACCCTGTTGTTCCTGAGCCCTGCCCTTCCAAGGCTCCTGAGCCCTGCAACCCAGTTGTTCCTGAGCCCTGCCACCCCAAGGCACCTGAACCCTGCCACCACAAGGCGCCTGAGCCCTGCCATCCCAAGGCACCTGAGCCCTGCCACCCCAAAGCACCTGAGCCCTGCCACCCCAAGGCGCCTGAGCCCTGCCACCCCAAGATGCCTGAGCCCTGCCACCCCAAGGCTCCTGAGCCCTGCCATCCCAAGGCACCTGAGCCCTGCCACCCCAAGGTGCCTGAGCCCTGCCCCTCAACAGTCACTCCAGCACCAGCTCAGCAGAAGATAAAGCAGAAGTAACATCTGCAGCCACGCCCTTGAAGAGCCGATTGCCAGATGCTGAGCCTTCTTCCTCTTAAATCCCACGTGGCCGCTTGATCTTGAAATTAGCATGCTGTCACTGAGTCATAATCCTTCTCCCTTTGCATCCCTTCAAAAGATATCCCTGATACTCATTCAGGTGTCTTCCTGAGCCTCTAAATATGGATGAAAGGCTCACTGAGTGAGCTAGTCTTCCGGTGGCTCAGGGTTCATCTGAAGAGGGATCAAGTGAATCTTCCCTGTCCTGGCCTCATTAAATCACTGTTAACTTCACTCCTGGTTATGTGTCAATTTCTGGTTCAACATTCACTGCTCTCTCATCATGAAGCAGGAAGTAGCACAGTAAACCTGGTCATGAGGTCTTTGGTGAGAAGTGCTGGATGCAGGCACTGAGAACATATCTGTGTCCATGTAGCTGCTGCATGCGCGGGACACTCCTGGACTGTCATGGGAGATTCAAGGCCACTCGGGCTGTTACTTTGGGCAGCCATAGCTAGATCAAGGGTTTCTTGGTTCTCCCAACTGACTCACAGCTAAGGACGCATGGTGCCCACTTCAAGCAATCTCCAACTCCAAGTCCTTGTCCCAAAGTTGTACTTATTCTGTTCAGTTGATTGCTCTTAAAAAATTAATCCAAACTGTGGATACCTGTGCATACTCTAAATTAATTTTTTGTTGTTTATTCGTCTTTCCTCTTTGATATTGCCAACACATGGAGCCAAACACAAACATTCACACTTCCCTCCTCACGCTTTACTTCTCACAAAGCACCCACACATGCTCACACAGGATAGACTTTCAGATATACAGACATTGATACACATAACTTCCATATGCTTAGATTCCTCAAGTCACACAGCACATATTCACAGACTTTATCTCCTTAGTCTTCTTTTATTGAGTTCTCCTTGCCTACTATGAAGATACCTGATGTTGCCAGGAGAATAGAATCCACACGCCTGCTCCAGGAGCTCTCTAAGGCTGTTGATCTGTGCCTTCCTCACATATAAACATGCAAGTATTCTCTCTCTCTCTCTCTCTCTCTCTCTCTCTCTCTCTCTCTCTCTCACACACACACACACACACACACACACACGTACACAAAACAGAACACATATATGATGCTTTTCTATGTAAGACATAGAAATAAATGCATGAAATTAAACATGATAGAAGACTAAAAATTTCAAGTAGTTTTCAGGAAGAAGAAAGCTAAAGCAGGTAAGACAAAGTGTAAGAAAAGAAAAAGAGCAGAAAGGCAAACTCAATAGACCAATAGGTTTTACTTGGGATGGAAATTTGGGAAGGACAACCAAGTCTCTTTTAGCCTAGCTAAAGGAGAAATGGTGTACCCCCTTACAACTAGGCTCCCCTTGAATATTAGGCAGAAAGAGTAAAGTCAGGTGGAGCATTGGAAGCAGAGTGAGATGGAGATGGGATGGGAGAAAAATCTCATTTTGACTGAGGAGTTTCAAGGCTTCAACGGCATCTTTGCTCGCCAGGGGCATCAGCATCAGACCAGGCCTTGGTCTTAGGCTCTCTTCTCTAAAACCACAGGATATATTTGTTCAGGAGGAATGAGGAGGGGAGATGATTCAGTGGGAATGGCAGCAAGGATAGTTCTAAGATAGGCTCTCAGGGGGAAAGGTGAATTCTTTGAGTTTAAGTTATTTGCCATCACAAAACACAAAACTGAGGGAAAGCAGGTCATTCTAATGTAAAATATCAGGGTAAAGATGGAAAAATGGAAAAAAATATATTAAGTGAAACAAGCCAGGCCCAAAGAAATATAGGTTGCACAATATATAAATAGAATATGTCTATGATATTCTTAGCAGGTAATCACAATAGCCCAATCACTAAGTGCATAGGACCCATATAATGAAGTGTATCAAAATAAACTCCAAGACTTGGAAATTAGAGGTTTTTATTGTGTCCTGTATGCAGTTATTTCTATATTTTCCTTTCTGTTTTAGTTTTCTGTACCCTTTGTCTTGTATATAAGTTTGTCTGATCTGTGGAAGGGGAAGAGAATCACAGAAACAGAAGGACAAAAGATGAACTAATGCAACATTGATACTCACTTGACACTATGTTTTAAATGAACTTTACAATCTGGGGGTAGTATTATGGGGAGGGGTAAAGGGGAGAAAATGAGGGAGGGGATAATAGTGTTTAAAAAGAAATGTACTCATTACCTTACTTAAGTAACTGAAACCCCCTGTTCATTACCTTTACAACAAATTAAAAATAATTACATAAATAAAAAGAAGTTGGAAAAAAATCACACAATCCAGCCTATTCATTTCCCATAGAAGGACACAAAAGAATGTCCAGGAGGCAAAGGTAAGCACTTAAGGCTGCTCATTAGTTGTATTTCTGAATTGCATCCAGAGTCCAGAGCCTTAGACTTTCTGCTGCTGGTTTTTTTGTCTTCCTAATTTTCCTGGTGACTAGCAGACTTCAAAGACTCTATTGACCAGATCTAGAATACCCAGAAACTTCCTTCCAGAACAGGATTTCGTAGAGGGAGGGTAGATTTTCAGAGCAGCTGAGGTGATCATTGGAGAGTGACCCTCTTGATAAGATGAGGCTTTCTAATGTCAAAGAGTATATATAAGGTCCCTCCATGATGTACAACTACTCCAAGTAACTTTGGAAAGAGGTTAGAAATACTAAAAGTCCCATAATATTTGCAAATTGATGAACAGTTTTAGACCTGTAGGAGAAAATGACATCACATGGGTATTCACATGGTAAGGCCAGGTGCTGGTGACTCGCATCTGTAATCCCAGATACTCAGGAGGCTGAGATCAGAGGATCACAGTTTGAAGCCAGCCCAGGCAGGAAAGCCCATGAGATGCTTACCCTCAATTAACCACCAAAAAAACTGGAAGTGGCACTGTGGCTCAAAATGGTAGAGCACTAGCCTTGAGTGAAAAAGCTCAGGGACAGTGCCCAGCCCTGAGATGAAGTCTCACGACCAAAAAATCAACCAAAAACAAATAAACAAACCATGGTAAGGTAATTTCTTATTGTGGCTCATTGGCATGATGGAAAAAGTTACTACTTCCCTAGGAACCATGATCACTAAATGAGCAAGCCTTGATTGGGAATCCTGATAGTGGCATATTGTTGATAGGGTTATAAGGTTACAAGATTACTTTATGAGTTGAGCAAAATGAGGTCAAATTCTTCAACATCTGTACACTCTTTGTACTCCACCAGGAAATATTCATTCCTACATACAAATATTTGTGAAGGTGAGAGTTTCAATTTTATATCTAATATTAAAATAAAGGATAAGGAAAAACAACATATATTCTCAACAGAAAATATTGATTGAGTTACTTTGTATCTCAGTCTTGGAATATACTATTATTATGTGAGAATATTTATGCATACGGAAAAAATGTTAGGACAATATCAAACTCATGTAAAATATTGTGGCATGTAACACATGCTAGTAAATACAGCCAAACAAACAGTAGTTATGTTCAACTTTTGGATAAAATAAGTGTTGTACATTTTGTCCTTTGAATACTTCTTCATTTTTTAAACATCAGCTACACTAGGAACTGAAATAGCATTTATATATAATGTTTCTTTAAGGGAGTAAAGAAAACCCAAGGTGTTGATGAGCTAGAGGAACCTTTCTGAAGTCTTGCCACAGTTTTCAGGATAGTAATCCAAAAGGGTCAGGAGTGGCATCTTAGGCTTGTTTTTTTTTTTTCTTTTTATATTGTGCCTCATAACTCCCCCACTGCAATTCTAAATATTTCTCTTGTGGGAAGCTTCCTCAATAACAGTCACTCCACTGACTCAAAAAGACACTTCCATCCCAAGGTTATAGGACAGCTGGCAAGATGGAGTACTCTCAGATCCAGGCTCCTTCCCTAAGCAGTAAGCAGAATGCCATTTGGTAAAGCTAACAGTAGAGGGCAGGTACTACATTCCCCTGAGGAGTCACACTGGTAGCATGTCTCAGCACACAGGGTTAGAAGTACAGTTCACAACATGGCTGCTGTCCTTACCATCTCTTGGTTTTCTGACTCCCCGTGTTCATTTTCCTAGTAAGGCCATGAGTCTTCATGTGTGCTACAGAAAACAAGACAGCATCTGGTTTACACAAGATCTGTTCAGAGAAGAGGTTTCCCACTTGGCTGCCAAGTAAGACAGAAACCTCTGATGTCAAATCTTTGTAGCAGGGTGGCAGGAAAACTGCATGATCCTTTCAGGAATTCTGACCGCTTTGTGTTTAGGTGGGAAATGGCTGCCCATGGTTGTATGAGTAGATCCCACCTCTCTATAGCTGAGTCTTCCTGACCCTATCAATGGCTATTATTCCTAGGAGTAGTCTTTGAAAATGTGATTCTCAGTGCATATCACGGAGTTAGATGAGTCAGAGTTCTTGGTATTCATGTCTGTCTGTTTGGTTGGTAAGAAAATGCATCACTAATGTCAATGTAGGGGACTAGATAGTCCTCATACAGAACAGCATCTGGAAATGCCCCAGATGGTTGTAACAAGAGGATGGATTGAACAAACAGGTATATCTCAAACACAAGATACTACTGAACTGTTGAACATATTGAACTGTTGACACACATAACAGTTTGAATAAACCTCTGAGAATTTATATGGAGTTGGGGGGGAAAAGCCAATTTCTTTTTACAGACTATAAACTTATATTAAGCCATCATTAATCTCGTGATAAAAATGCATCAGTATTGGGAAGCTGAGGTGCTTTTATGTAAGCAATAAGACAACACGAGCATTCCAAAAATATTATTTTTGCCTAAATAATTTACAGTTTTACCACTAACAATAAATACTACATTAGCTTTCTATTGTGCAACATATTAATACCATAATATCTGGGATGGGAGGGAAAAATTGGGATAGACTGAGGGAAGGGATGATACTGTCCAAAAAGAAATGTACTCAGGGCTGGGAAGTTGGTTCAGTGGTAGAGTGCTTGCCTCGCATGCATTATGCACTGGGTTCGATTCCTCAGCACCACATAAGCAGAAAACCCGGAAGTGGTGCTGTGGCTCAAGTGGTAGGGCACTAGCCTTAGCTGAAGAGCTGAGTGACAGCACCCAAACCCAGAGTTCAGCCCTCACAACCAACAACTAAAACAACAACAAAAGAAATGTACTCATTACCTGATGTACTCATTACCTGATT